AGTTGTCAGCGCTGTTAGTCTTCGAACAGTCCGGGTTTCTGCAGACGAACACGAACACCGTCCTGTGGAAGCAGTCGCTCTGATCCGGTATGGGTGCGTATACCTGAAGCAGGAAAGCAAGGGGACTTCCGCAAGACGAGCACTTGAGGGTATCGGAGCACGATGGCAGCCGACTGTAACTCAACCATGCCGGCTTGCCACCGACTTTGCTAGGGAAAAATGGACTCTTCAACACTGAAGCATCTGACTCCTCGACATAACCAAGCTCGACCTTTTTTGCCATCTGTACAACTGACTAGATTACAGTTCAGTACATAGCATTAATCCTGTTTGACGGTGGTTGATTTCTGACGACCCTCGTGCCATGCAACAAACACGAAAGATGCCAGAACTACGTGAACCACACCAACGGCGATTATAGCGGAGTAGATGATACTATCGTGTGATGACCAGTGAAATAAGCCTATAAATTCAAATTTTTGTAAACAAAAATTAACGTTCATATAATTTCACAATTAAATAACTGGCTTTCCAATCACCAGCACATCAAGATATAAGATATTAATGAAAACATTACCTGGCAATATGCTAATTTCTGAATTCGCATAGAGATGTTATGTCCGGGTATGTTAAATAACGAATGAATCCTACAAGAGCAGATTTCACGCTGTACCGCCCCTTTGCCCCAACTGCCTACGGAGCCCTTTATGCAGGTCATGATTCCATGGTGCCGGCCGCATCGTCCATCATTTAGCTCTCTATGCCACCTCGCATTCATAGCGAAAGATGTGTCAAGAGCTGATACTCCTAATATACCTTCGCATAAATATCATAAGTTCGCCTGATTACAACAAGATGAGTCGTCACCTGCCCTTCACCTCATTCGAGCGAAAGCAAAGGCAAACAACCGTTTTATCTGCGATGCCTAACAAACAAGCATTGTAGCTAATACAAGTGCTAAAACTGAACGAAATGGAGAGCACAAATACAATGGCCCCAAGTCCCGTGCGTGCCGCATAAGTCAGACTGCCGCGGACTAAATGAAAAGACTGAAGGATGATAGGATGTCCTCAAAGATGAGAGACTGGTTCTCATGGAGCTACAAACGCCCAATTGGAAGACTTTGTCTCAGACGGGACGGCGAGCCAAAAGAGAGACATGGAAATTTGTGGCGACAAATCGCAAGAGTCAGACAAGCGTGGGCACTGGAACTAGGTAAGGGTGATCCCAGTTTATTACAAAGAAGGATCACTGAATAAATCCGATATTATACACCATATGTATAAACATAAATGAAAAACTTTTTTCAAAATTATCAGACAACTAATTTCAGCAACTCTGCTGCTAAAGCGTTGTTAGTCTTAAAGGACTATAACCAGAGTAACAACAAAAAATGATCTGATTATTATAGGCACAAATAACATATTTCACTGCCAACATATTAGCGAAGCAACACTGGTCATAACCAAGGCAAACAATTGCAAATATTCACTTAAAAACTAAATTTACTTTTCAATAAACCACCTTCAGTTAACATAACAATAATAATTAAATTAACATATTGAACAAAGATGAACCTTCGAAAATGCAGTTCTTCAGGAAAAACATAGAGCCCAAAGGAGTAGCTATTATCGCAAAGCTGAACAAAACCAGCTTCTTCAAAGCAGAGTGAACTTGCGGATCACCAAAATTGGGCATAAATTCGTTCATGTTCGTCTAAATATGCTACAATACTGAGACAGCAACTTTCAGGTTACACAGCTGTACTACATTGTCACGCTGCAACATAATAGCAAATAACAGGTATGATAACTCAGACTGCAAAAAATTACTTTCCATAGCAATTAATTACCATAATTCATACCCAGCCACCTAATATAATTTCTAGAAAACAAACAAGTTAAGCACAGTAGGATTGGATGTCGGCAGTCACAAGTTATAGTGGTTGTCAGGGAGTATATTGCATGCTAATAACGCAGTCTAAGTTGAAGTTTAATTGCTATGGTGTCAACCAACGGGGTCAACATTTCTCAGCATAAAGGCAACTTAAGATAGGAATATCGAATAGCCGATCGCACGCTCAGAGAGGTAAGAGCAAGGTTGGAGACCGTGGCGAAGTGTCCGTAAAACTCAGCCACCTGC